CCTTCCGAGTAGCGGGAATTACAGGCGTGCGCTACCATGCCCGGCTTATTTTTGATTTATTGTAGAGATGAGGTCTCGCCTGCCCAGGCGGGTCTCGAACCCACGGACTCAGGCAATCCACTCACCTCAGCCTCCCAAAGGCGCGGGATTACAGGCTGAGCCACTGAGCCCGACTGGGATCTTGGATTTAAAAGGAGGCCCTCGACACCCACAGTGAGCAGACTCAGAGGACTTATAAGAAGAGTTGAAGGCTGGGCACAGTGGCTCATGCCTATAATCCCAGCACTGTGGGGGGCCGAAGTGAGAGGATTGCCTGAGCACACAGGGAGACCAGCCTGGGCAACTTGGCAAGACCTCATCTCTACAATAAATAAAAAAATTAGTTGGGCATGGTGGCACATGCCTGTAGTTCCAGCTACTTGGAAGGCTAAGGCAGAAGGATCACCTGAGTCCAGCAGGTCAAGGCTGTGGTGACTGTAAGTGTGCCACTGCACTTCAGCCTGGGCAACAGAGACTCCAACTAAAAAAAAAAAAAAAAAAAAGAGTTGAAGAACTCCAGAGACGCTTAAATGCTCCACTAAGGCAATACTGTTATGCTGAGATCAGGGGCCTGATTGGAAAAACCTAGGGCCCTAACATAAGCAATGACATTGGTTCTTTAGACTTCCCAGAACTGTCTGTGTTTGCAGAAGTAGCCCCAACTCCCTAGCAAAAGCTAGCACACCCACCATGCAGAAAGACACTAAAAAGGGCTCTTCCCACAAAACACGAATCCTCTCCCTCTCCCAAAAGCTGCCTCCACTTCCATCTCTTGACTCCCAGGCCAATAACTAGGGTTATTGAATAACCTTGGTTACAGCATAACCAAGGTGGAAATGCCCTGGGCTTGCAAGGGAGGAATGAGATTTTACCCCAAAGGATCTCTAAGAACTTGCTAGGATGTACAAGTAGGAACCAGAGGAATCATCCTGGAACTGGATTTTCAAAGTGCTTGATCAAGGGAACCAGAACTTAAGACTGGATAAGCAAAAAAATCATTGACTTGGAAGCACTTTCTCAGTACATAGGATTTAACACCCTGGCAAGGACCCCTGGGAATATGGCAAACTCACTGCTAAGGTACCGCTTAGAAACCTGGAAAGTGATGGCCAACACTCAGTAAAGCAGAAATGACCGAGTTGCCCTGGCAGAAGGAAGAGGAAGGAATCAAACGGTGCAGGGAGGAAGGCATGCTGAAATAGGTCTATTAAGTGAGACCAGAACTACCAAAGTCTTACATTCCATGGGAGGGCCCAGAGGATGCTCTCATTTATCAAAGCCACCAGGAATGCACCAGTGAGAGGGCAATATTTAAGTTCAATTAGGCTTCTCCTCTGCAGTCCAGACTGAGCTTGGTAATAGTCACAAAGATGATGGGGCTCCTAAGTAATAGAAGCCAGGTGGGCAGCACTTAGCTGGCAAAGGTCAAGGGACAACAATTACTGTCAAGACTGGCAATCAGAGAAGCAGCCAAATAAGCTGGCCCACAGGGAGTTATAGAAATGGTTAATAGAATATCCCTGGGACCAAACCAGATGGGCAGTCATGCAGATGCTTCTTTAACAGCTACAATGAGGGACAGGAGACTGATAGTGGTCACACTAAAAGAAGTTATGATCCCTTGCTCTAGATATATACAACTTTCATACCCAGGACCCCGTGACTGAAGAGATGGTCAGGTCCCCAGGAGGGAGTACCTTGCACCACTATGGCAAGTAATGAGTCACCCAATCCTTCCCCAATTACTTGGGTCACTATATACTGGAGGAAAGAAAACAGTCATTTCAAAAACTATTGAATGTAGGGTCTGAGTTGACACTAATACCCAGAAACCTCAAATGCCATTATGGCCCCACATCACAGTGGGGGGGTCCTTCCCCTAGCTCATTAAAGTAGGGTATCTATAAGACCAGCTAGAGGAGAAGAGCCAAGCCTGGTTTACAGATGAGTGGGCTGTTTGTGTCGAAAGCCAAATGTGAATGGCAGCTGCATTACAGCCATATTCGGAGGTAGTCTTCAGCAGAAAGGAGAAAATCTTCCCAGTAGGTGAAGATGTGAGCAGTGTATAATGTCATTCGTTTGTTTTTGAGTCACAGCCTCGCTCTGTTGCCAAGGCTAGAGTGCAGTGGCACGTCCATGGCCAGCGCAGTCTCAACCTGCAGGGATCAGGCGATCTTTCCACCTCAGTATTCCAAGAAGCTGAAACCACAGGCGCAAGCCACATCTGGTTAATTTTTTTTATTGTAAAGATAAGGTCGCCTCAAGTTGCCCAGGCTGATCTCAAACAATCCTCTTGCCGCCTACCAAAGTGTTGGGATTACAGGAGTGAGCCACCATGCCCAGCTGGCCATCCATTTTCAATGGAAGGAGAACTGGCCCAAGGAAAGAATAGATTTCAGCAGCAGTCAATAGTCTAGTTGGCTGGTTAGGAAATTGGGAGGAACACACCCTTGTCAGGCAACATAGCAAGGATCCACTTGAACTACGAGTTAAAAAGCTGACACCAGAGCATCTTGAATTTTTTTTTTTTTTTTTTTTTTTTTTTTTTGCATAGGAACTGGAAGCTACCATCTCAGCAGGGCTTCTTTTAATACACCCAGGTAACCCACTTAGGTTGTAACCAATTACTACCAATGTAATGGCTTGCAGCAACATAAACTTATCTTACAGTATGTGGGTCTAAAGCTTGGTACAGATTTTACTGGGCTAAGCCAAGGTGTAGACAGGTTGCATTCCTCCCTGCAGATTCTAGGTGAGAATCCACAGTGGAGGAGATAAAGGCTACCAGTTTCGGCCCCAGGACAAACTGGCAATGTGGGTTGTAACTCATCAAGTTTCTCCTTGAAAAGCTTCCTCAGGAATCGTGAACGTGCAAGTGGATGTATGATGCAAAGAACAGATGTATTAGCCATGAAGGTATGCCAAGATTTCAAGACAATCAGCTGCAGTTAACTGACAGCCTCCAAATTCTTATTTGGATCCACCAAGGTATCTTACTTCCCTGAGGCCGTTACCAACACATCTCTGTCTTTGCTTACTTGAGGATTCCCACAGCCATGCCAAAACTGTGTGATATGGTATAGCCTGAGGCCCCTCCTACCCAATCCTCCTATTTTCCCTGTGCCTAATGAGAGCCAGGACCTCAGAGAATGGTAGCCAAGTCCTTGCCAAAACTCACCACAGCAAAGCCTACAGCATAAATTGCCATCAGGATTTCTGGGGTTTTAAGAGTACAGACTCCCTGGTTTCACCTCCAGAAACTGCTTATGGGCCAGTTAATTTACCTTTTAACAATCACCTTGGGTGATCTGTATGCCAGTGGACTATAGATCACATTTTTTTTTAATGGGAAAAAGTTATCTAAACTCTAATCCAGTTGCGAGAGCAGTCATGTTCATGCTCATAGCTGTATATGTATATCTTAGCTAGGCATGGTGGCAAAGTCTGTAGTCCCAACTACCCCAGAGGCTGGGGGGTTGCTTGAGCCCAGGATTGCAGTAAGCTATGACCAGAGAGACCCAGTCAAAAAAATAAATAAAAATTAGATAATAAGTAATCTCTGTGGATAAACTGTAAAAACTGCTAAACTAGGGAACCAAAAAGGTAGAAGTCACAAATAAGAAGTCACTGAAAGACCTATTAAAGTCATCTCCTCAGGAGCTTATCTTGATGGGTCTTTGAGGAGTTACTTTTAATCATTCTCTGGACATGAATACTTGGTGTAACTATATAAATCCTTCCATGCCCATTTCAGTTCTTATAAAAAGTCATCTTTTGAGGCCAGGCACAGTGGCTCATGCCTATAATCTTAGCACTGTGGGAGGCCAAGGTGAGAGGACTGTCTGAGTCCATGGGTTGAAGGCAGGCTAGGCGACTTGGCGAGACCTCATCTGTACAATAAATAAAAAAAAAATTAGCCGGGAGTGGTGGTGCAGGCCTGCAGTTCCAACTACTTGGAAGGGTGAGGCAGAAGGATCGCCTAAGCCCAGCAGGTCAAGGCTGTGGTGGCCGTCAGAGTGAGACTTCAACTCAAATGAAAAAGAAAGTAATCTCTTGGCCTCCTTGTTATGAGGTACAGAAATAGACACCATTAACATAGATAACTTAATCCTAACTGAACTTCTATTTTAATCTTACCCTAAGATTCGGTTTCAAAATGATCTTAAACAATACATATCTATGCCTGCCTCAGTGATCTGGCATAAGCCCCAATTTCTCTGTATGTTTTGCATTTATTTCTAACCCTAGAGAAATCTGAGACGGCGGATTTTTTTTTTGAGTTGGAATCTCACTCTGTCACCCAGACTGGACTGCAGTGGCCGCTCCCAGCCACCGCAGCCTCGACCTGCTGGGCTCCGGCAATCCTTCCGCCTCAGCTTCCAAGTAGCTAGAACTACAGGCGCGCACTACCACACCCGGCTCATTTTGATTTATTGTAGAGATGAGGTCTTGCCAAGTTGCCCAGGTGGGCTTCCAACCCATGGGCTCAGGCAATCCACTCACCTCAGCCTCCCAAGGCGCGGGATTACAGGCCGAGCCACCGAGCCTGACTGAGACGGCGGATTTTAACCGTGAGGAAGAAATGGGACTAGGGGTAGGAGGCACAGAGTGGAGGGTAAAAAACAGTAAGATATTTGGAACTGGTTGGCTTTAATAAGTCCTGCTGCTTTTCATTTACTTCTTCCAGGTTTTTAACCTTTTCCCAAAACTCAAATCAAAATGAGCTACTGAAGATTCATTTACTTCCTGGGATGAAGTATTATCTGTCCCATTTTCCTTTTCCCACCCAACAGGTCCCCAAAACCCAGAAAAAAAGACGATATTCTCAAATACAGACAAAACATGCATACAACTCAGATGACTGTTTTACATTTTCATAGTGTTTTCTTTAACATTTAATAGAAACTATATACAATAAATTTTTACTATATCTTACATAAGAAAGCCACCACAGAAATTTACATAGGTTAGAAGCAAGCTGGATGGTTAAAGAGGGCCCAGTCCCGTGGACTGTTTTCTCAGAGGAAAAAAGTCAGAGTTCACTGGAGAAAGGGGTTCAGATTGCCCAATTAAGTGGAGGTGAAGGCTAGAATGCAGGCTTTCAGACATTGGGGCCACCAACATCTCAAGGGCACCCACCACTCAGAGACAGCTCCCACCTAGCTACCTGTGTGGATTCCTAGCCACCTGTGTGGATTCCTAGCCATGATCTGGTAAATCACATTACAAAGATGTCTCTTTATCCTTAGGCACAGTCTCAAATAATCCCAGAAGCTTTGACAGGGATTACCTCTCTCTCTCCCACTGGCCCAGAGTGGAAAAACTTTGGAAAACTATTGGTTCATTCACTCAAAAGGTGGTTTATGTTTGACTATAATAACACTCAATCCAGAAGAAAAACAAGGTAGTATGGGTTGCCCCTGTTTAGTGAGAGATGATCAAAAAAATATTTGTGTTTGAAGAATGAGAAATTTAAATCCTCCAAAGTCAAATGGTCCCTCAAACAAACTATCAACTGACAGAATTGGGTTCTGGCTTCCCATTTGCAGTAGCCAATCCACTCTGAGGCAATGGTGCAGAGGCTTTCTCAGGATTTCGAGATCCCTGGGATCTGCACCCATCTCCAGCCATCTGCATTTGGCCCTGTTAAAAGAAATAAAGGCATTTTGGTTAGAAATTCATTCATTGCGGACTAAAGTATGAATATGACTTATCAGTGCTCACTTACAATAGCAGCAAGAACAAAACAACAAAAATAAAACAACTCTGGGCAGTGCTCTTCCTCACATTTAGCTATTCCTGTCCCTTAGAGTTGCAAGTCATTACTTATAACATTCCTGAAGTTATTCCAATGGGAAGAGGAGTTGTGTGTTGTTTCTTCCAAATGAAACAGCCATTCCCTGCTGAGTTTCCAGAACAGCCAACAGACCATAGGAAGACAGTCCTTTAGGCCTCTGCTTGAAACCGACAGCTACAGTATAACTAACTGCCGGTCTTCAGTTAGGGCCATTGGTACTCTACCCAACGCTCAAAGAAGTCAAATACTACGACTGTTCCTTACTTTTACAATGAGAACAATTCCAGCGCTGAACTCTCTCTTAAAAGGTTCAATTTACCTGGATTCCTTGCCTTAACATTTTTTATTTAAGTAAACTGATCATCTACTCTGGGATGTGAGGGTCACGGGCAATGGGCCCATCTGGAGAAGCGGAGCAACAAAGGCTTTCAGAAGCAGAGAAGGGCATTTTTTAAAAGTACCTTTCTTATAAGGCATTCACCAAGTGAATGCCATCTGGGGCATCTTTATACTCTACTTGTGATGACACCCCCACTCCTAGGAGTACAGACTAGCCAGCAGAGAACCCTCTCCCTGGCAGGATCACTACATTAAGCCTGGTTGAGATTATTCTTCACTTGCCAAAATATCCACTGGGCCTTCAGCAATTTCTTTGATTGAATTATCTTCGAGGGTTAGTGAAGGATCAAAAAGCAACGGTGAAGGAGGGCACTGCATACTATCACCCACAACATCCAAGTCCTAGGAAAAAAGAAAAAAAGTCTATCAGTAATACCAAGGGAAATAATAAGCTCAAGTTGGTATACTTTTCAGCAAACTTCAAAGCAATTCTCTGTTCCCTCCCTCACCCTCTGCCTACATTAAAAAAAAAAGATCTTACCAGAATGTTCAACAGATGAGACAAGATCCAAAAGCACTGGGATCTTTTTCTTGCCAAGTATAAAACACACACCAGTATAGTGGCCTTAAAAAGCAAACTCCCAGTAAAGTTCACAGAACAGAAAATGGGATAGTAAATTAGAAGGGACCAAGGGAAAGGGAGTTATTATTTAAAAGGTACAGAGTTTCTGTCTGGGCCATTGCAAAAAATTATAGAAAACAAAGTGATGATAACTGCACAACATTGTGAATGTTTGTAATACCACAATATTGTACACTTGAAAACAGTTAAAACAGTAATATTTGTTACATTAAAAACTTTTAATTAAAAATATTTTTTAAATGCATAGTCCCTCTGAGACTAGCTCTAGTCAACATCTAGGTTCACCAGTGATAAACTTAAGTATGGACAATCAGCATAAATGCAAATTAAAATTAAAGAGGTTGGCCAGGCTCGTAATCCCAGCACTTTGGAAGGCCAACAAGAGCGAACTGCCTGAGTCCGCATGTTCAAGGCCAGCCCAGGCAATTTGGCAAGACCTTGTCTCTACAATAAAATAAAAAATTAGCCAGGTGTGGTAGCACGTGCCTGTAGTTCCAGCTACTTGAAAGGCTGAGGTGGAAGGATTGCTGAAGCCCAGCAGGTTGAAGTTGGGGTGGCCAACTCAAAAAAAAAAATTAAATAGATTAGGCAATATGAGGTTGCTTGATGAATGTCCTAACAGCCACAAGGCAAGCTTGAGAAAGAGAACGGGAGAAGGTGAGAAAAATGGAGGAAAGACAGAAAACTCAAAATTCCTCTGAATGGCTAGGAAATATTATTTTGGTTAAGTCCACATGCCCACAGAGTAATCTCACACAGTTCAACTGCTAAGAAGGAAGGGAGGAAGAAGAAAAAAAAGAAAAAAGAAAACAGTGACAGTGTATTTTAGATTGTTTCTTCCAACAGAATTGGCCATTCCCACTAGGATACTGAACAGCCAAAAGAACATAAGGAAGACATCACTTTTGGCTCCTGTTTGAAACCAACAGCTACAACAAACCACTGGCCTTGATTCAGGGCCTAAAGCATTGCAAAGATTCAATGTATCAAACTAACTTCCATGCTTCCCAAGGGTCTAGTGCTAAACTCTCCTTTCCAACAGTTAAAATATCTAAGGGTTTGTATTTCCCTCTGCCCAATCCAGTTTACAAAAGCTCTATGTTTCTAAACAGCTTCCTGTGAAGCTTAGCTCTCTGTTTTTAACTTAAGTCTAAGAATTCACAATACTATCCCTTTTTTTTTTTTGAGGATCATAAAATACATTAAGATAAAGAAAATAGTATAATTTTAAAATCAATGAGACTTAAAGTTGTTTGATTTCAGCAGAAACATAGGGAATAGGATACAGCTGCTTTACCTAACACCCACTTCAGATATATTGGAAACTTCTATACTATTCACAGAAAGCAGTGTCCTCACACTATTAAGAGTAAATTTATTTTCTGCAATTCTCTTATTACGGACAATTTTTATATAGATAGTTAGCAGGAAGTCATATTAACAGTGAAGGCAAAGAAAACCCATCTCAGCCGGGCTCAGTGGCTCAGCCTGTAATCCCGCGCCTTTGGGAGGCTGAGGTGAGTGGATTGCCTGAGCCCGTGGATTCGAGACCCGCCTGGGCAACTTGGCTAGACCTCATCTCTACAATAAATCAAAAATTAGGCGGCTACTGGAAGGTTGAGGCAGAAGGATTGCGGGAGCGGCCACTGCACTCCAGTCTGGGTGACAGAGTGAGACTCCCAACTCAAAAAAAAGAAAAGAAAATACAAGTCTCAAGGTGACAATGGAACCAAAATGTTTACAAAGGAAAACAGATACAGAAAAGGCTTTTCTAACATATACCAAGTGTTGTCTTTTACAAGAATAAAAATTGGGAGAAAAAGCCCAAAATAAGAGAAGAATAAAAAATACTTATCATAACAGGAATGTTTAGAGACTAGAGTATCAGGATACAAAGCCAGAATCTATGTTTTTAAAAGTTCCTATCAAGAGAAACATAACAGAATTAAGATATTAAGTTGCTACTTATTAACTATACTTAAAGCACTGAAAACAGGCAAGCATAATATCCAGAATAAAGGGCTGCATCTTTACCCATATTAATATTTGATAGCTAGTCTTCCCTCAAGTTATCAGATCAATATATCAGTAACAACTTAATATAAATGATAAAGCAAGACATAGTTAATGAATTAAAACTGCTTAGTGAAATTCACATAATTCAAAAATAGTTGTTTTTATAGCAACATTTTATACTAATAAATACATCCAGAATTTATGAGAAGACAAAAATTAATTTCTAAAACTGGATTCTGCTTCAAAATTTTCATGGGAATTTTTACCCAAGATTAAGAAGAAAATTCTTTTTTTATTATTTTGCTTTAAAGATGTGTGGTACAATTCATGATTAGGTATGTGAGTAGGCATCATACATAAAGTTTGGGCCTCCCTGTGGTCCCCATTTAGAATGAAACTCTTTTTAATGAACAATGTGGGTTTTTCTGTTGTTTTGTTTTTTGAGTCAGAGTCTCACTCTGCTGCCCAGGCTGGCATGCAGTGGCATGCTCACAGACCTGCTGGGCTAAGACGATCATTCCACCTCAGTGTCCCAAGTAGCTGGAACTAGGTGTACGCCACCACATTCAACCAATTTTTTAATTGTAGAGACGAGGTTTCGCCAAGTTGCCCAGGCTGGCCTTGAACCCCTAGCTCACATAATCCTCTCACCTCCACCTCCCAAAGTGCTGGGATTATAGGCATGAGCCATTGTGCCCAGCTGAACAAGGTGGTTTATCAAAAAGAGCATTAATATGTGACAATAACAAGGCCAGGCTCACACTTATAATTCTTTATCCAAAAGATTTAAAAATTTTGCAAAAGTATTCAAGACAGATATGGAATGCCAACTGATCCCTAAGGTCAAAGAGGAGATTAGTGCCAGTTAGGGAAACAAATGAAATCAGAAATGGGCTTGTGAGATTGGGACCAAGTGATGAGAAAACTAAAAAAGGAAGGCATACTTAGAAGGCGGTAAAAACATATATTTGGGGAGATCATTGTTGATCTAGTCAGTTCACATAGAATCTGTAACAAAACAAAAAAGAAAACAGTAGCCAGAGCCAAGTTTAGAGTCATTTTGGGGGGGACACATTATATAAAATAGAAATCTTTATCACAGGACCAAAACAAAAGTTTACACTGTCAAAAGTTGATTTCTAGAGAAATCAGAATTCATTTATGATTCTAGTAAATCACTCATCTTGTGGATGGGTATCAAATCTCGAGGCTATATCAAATTCAACCACGATCTTGCCTTTCCAACTTCACTTACTTTACAATTTTCCTTATCACTCCCTCAGGAAAAAAAGTGAATTTAAACTTGTAATTTTAGAAGTACCAGTATGAACAGTTGACAGAAGAATTTGGTTTTTTTGTCTAAGTGAAACTTTTTTTTTTCTTGAGTTGGAGTCTCACTCCATCGCCCAGGCTGGAGGGCTGTGGCATGCACACAGCCACCCCAGCATCAACCTGCTGGACTCGGCGATCCTTTCACCTCAGCCTTCCAAGTAGCCAGAACTGCAGGCGCATGCTACCACGCCCAGCTAACTTTTTCATTTATTTATTGTAGAGATGAGGTCTTGCCAAGTTACCGAGCTGGTCTCAAACCCGTGGGCTCAGGCAATTTACTCGCCTCGGCCTCCCAAACTGTTGGGATTACAGGCTTGAGGCACCGTGCCCAGCCATGTCTAAATGAAATTAGTGATTTAAAAACTAAGTTCAAGCCAGGCCTTTCAGAGGCTGAGGTGAGTGGATTGCCGGAGCCCGCGGGTTCGAGACCCGCCTGGGCAAGACCTCATCTCTACAATAAATAAAAAAAATCAGCCAGGTGTGGTAGTGCGCACCTGTAGTTTCGGCTACTTGGAAGGCTGAGGCAGAAGGATCGCAGGAGACCAGCAGGTCGAGGCTGCGGTGGGGCCACTGCACTCCAGTCTGGGCGACACAGTGAGATTCCAACTCAAAAAAAAAAATAAAAAATAAAAAATAAAATAAAAACTAAGTTCACTCTTGCTGAGCACGGGCTCACACCTGTAATCCCAGCACTTGCGAGGTAGAGGCGAGAGGATTACCTGAGCTCAGGGGTTCAAGACCAGCCTGAACAACATGGCAAGACCTCATCTCTACAACAAAAATCAGCTGGGCATGGTGGCACATGCCTGTGGTTCCAGATACTAGGAAGGCTGAGGTGGAAGGATCACCTGAGCCCAGCAGGTCAAGGCTGCAGTGGCCATAAGCATGCTACTGCACTCAAGCCTGGGCAACAGAATGAGACTCCAACTCAAAAGAGAAAAAAAAAAAAAGGCCACTCCTAAGAATATATGCAAAAGCCGGGCTCGGTGGCTCAGCCTGTAATCCCATACCTTTGGGAGGCTGAGGTGAGTGAATTGCCTGAGCCCGCAGGTTCGAGACCCGCCTGAGCAACTTGGCGAGACCTCATCTCTACAATAAATCAAAAATTATGCAGGCGTGGTAGCACACGCCTGTAGTTCCAGCTACTCGGAAGGCTGAGGCGGACGGATCGTCGGAGTCCAGCAGGTCAAGGCTGCGGTGGCTGGGAGCAGCCACTGCAGCACTCCAGTCTGGGCGACTGAGTGAGACTCCAACTAAAAAATAAAAAATAAAAAAAATAATATATGCAAAGAAAAAACTGGAGAACTGAAAATGTGTCTACACAAAAATCTGTACACAAATGTTCACAAAAGCATATATGTTAATGGTCAAAAAGTGGAAACAGTACAAATGTCCATGAACTGCTTGATTTTAGCTACAGGCATGCGCCACCCTGCCCGACTGATTTTTTTTTTTTTTTTTGAGTTGGAGTCTCACGCTGTCGCCCAGACTGGAGTGCAGTGGCTGCTCCCGGCCACCGCAGCCTCAACCTGCTGGGCTCCGGAGACCCTTCCGCCTTAGCCTTCCGAGTAGTCGGAATTACAGGCATGTGCTACCACGCCTGGCTGATTTTTTTATTTATCATAGAGATGAGGTCTTGCTGCCCAGGCGGGTCTCGAACCCGCAGGTTCAGGCAATCCACTCACCTCAGCCTCCCAAAGGTGCGGGATTACAGGCTGAGCCACCGAGCCCGGCTAATATTTTTATTTATTATAGAAATAAGGTCTCACCAAGTTGCCCAGGCTGGAAATGATAAAAATTTTTTTTAATGTATATCCAAACAATAGAATATTAATTCAGTCACAAAAAGGAATGAAGTAAATACTACAACATGGCCTTGAAAACACAGTGCTAAATGAAACAAGTCGGACACAAAAGGCCATATATATGACTACAGACCTGAAATGTCCAGTATAGGCAAATTTATAGACAAAAGCAGATTAGTAGTTATCAAGGACAAGGGGGAGAAGAAAATGAGAGACTGCTAATAGGTATGTAATTTCTTTTGGAGATAATGAAAACATTCTGAAATTAGATAGTGGTGATAGCAGCTTTGTGAATATACTAAAAATTGCTGAATCATCATACTTTCATATGGTAGAATTTATGGCATGTAAGTTATATCTCAAAAAAAGCGAGGAAAAAAAGCATGGAAAATAAAATAAAGGAGAGCAGAAGTCTCTAAATGAATATGTTAACACAAATACAATCACACATATATCACTTCAAAAAACGTACTCTCCTACCCACAAAAGACTAACCTATTCTTACCATTAATAAATAAGGCCTTGTCTCAAGGGCCAACCAGAGCAGAGCTTCTCTAACTTACATCACTGAACTCCAGAGGTAAACTCTCAGTGGGCTGAAGCTCAGCAGCACTCAAGTACAGATCCATGGGGCCGGCTTCCAGATCGTCTGGCACAGACAGTACCTGCTCGGGCTTATACATCTGAGGAGGCAACTGGAAATGCAGTGGGCAGCAGGGATCCTCAGAGAGGCTTACAGGAACTGGTTTGTTGCAGGGCACCTCTTCAGATCCCTGGCAGCATCTGAAGAGAACCTGATTCGTATCCTGACAAATATCTGTGGAAAAATGGTCAAGGAAAATAAAACAGGATCTATAGGAGGTATAAAATACAAGAGTTATTATCTGCCATGTAAAAACTCAGGGTCTGGACTACACAAGATAATAACTAAATTTGACACAAAAAAGCAAAAGGAATTAGCAATTTTTAAAGTTACTTCTCATAATAAGTGTCATTTACTAGTATCTAATTCTAGTTCAGTAATTTCAAACCTGTCCCCCACCTTCTTTTCAAAACCCTGTTCATTTAAACTAGAGATATGAATCCTGTTCTCCCTTATCACAGTGCTAACTAAGAAGCAATGCACTCCCAGCAATACAAACTTATTCAGAAGCAACATGAAGTGGCACATGCAAATAGCTTTGCAGATGCCCCTAAAAGCCCCCACCAATCCCTTCCAAGAGCCAAGAATTACAATGTGGTTTCTGCTCTATTAGGCAGACTGGAAAAGTTTACAAAAACTTCTTAGATCTTGTTTCCAAAGATGATTACAGGATAAAATTCTTTAAAGCACCACCAGAAGCCAGAAGCAGTGCTTCACAACATCTATAACCCCAACATTTTGGGAGACCGAGGTAAGAGGACTGCATGAGCCCACAGGTTCAAGGCCAGCCTAGGCAACTTGGTAAGACCTCATCTCTACAATAAATCAAAAAAAATTAGCCAGGTGAGGTCTCCTGTATATGTATTTCCAACTACTTGGAAGGCTGAGGCAGAAGGATCACCTGAGCCCAGCAGGTCGAGACTGGGGTGGTTGTGAGCGTGCCATTGCACACCTGCCTGGGCAACAGAGTGAGACTCCAACTCAAAAAAATAAATATTAAAAAACAATAAATAAAATAATATAGGATAATAAATAAATAAATTTCCACCAGACTGGGGAAAACAGCTATAGTAATAGCCACTAGGAACAATATCCTGATAGGAAATAAAAATAAATTGCCATTTTTTTTTTTTTTAAAGGGAGAGTGGTAGTACAGGGAAATCTTGTTATGATCCTAAATAAAAGATAATTTTGTTTATGGGGGCTCAGGAAAAAAGTACTCCAGGAACTCTACAACAACTTCTATTATGGTTAGAAGAAAAAGGGGCAGTATTTCCAATTTGGCAAAGAAGCTCTATAGAATAAAATTCAAATCATGATTAAATAAAATAAAATTCAAGTTACTCTACAAAACATTTTATTCAATTATTACCAGTTCTTGAAATCTTTTTTTTCTTGAGTTGAAGTCTCACTGTCACCCAGGCAGGAGTGCAGAGGCACACTCACAGCTACCGCAGCCTAAATCTGCTGGGCTCAGGCAATCTTTCCACCAGCCTTCCAAATAACTGGAACCACAGGCGTACACCACCACGCCCAGCTAATTTTTTAATTTTACTGTAGAGATGAGGTCTCACCAAGTTGCCCAGGCTGGTCTCAAACCTCTGGACTCAGGTAATCCTCTCGCCTCTGCCTCCCAAAGTGCTGGGATTACAGGTATGAGCCACCACACCTGGCAAAAAGTGTTATTTTAAACAAATGGTTTATTTTTAACCAGAAAACACAATTTTCTATAAACTGATTATGCCAGGATTATGGAATTATAAATTTATCTAAAAAATTTTAAAGAGGCCGGTAGTTCCAGCTACTTAGAAGGCTGAGGCGGGAGGATCACTGGAGCCCAGCAAGTCGATGCTGGGGTGGCCATGAGTGTGCCACTACACTCTAGCCTAGGTGACAGAGTAAGACTACAACTCAAAAACAAAACAATTAAGGTAACTTTTAAAAATGAAAAAAGCTAATGTACATTTTAATTTTTTGTTTGTTTGTTTTTGTTTTTATTGAGTTGGAGTCTCACTCTGTCACCCAGACTGGAGTGCAGTGGCCGCTCCCAGCTACCGCAGCCTCGACCTGCTGGGCTCCAGCGATCCTTCCGCCTCAGCCTTCCAAGTAGCTAGAACTACAGGCACGCACTACCACGCCCAGCTAATTTTTGATTTATTGTAGAGATGAGGTCTCGCCAAGTTGCCCAGGCAGGTCTCGAACCCGCGGGCTCAAGCAATCCACTCACCTCAGCCTCCCCAAGTGAGAGATTACAGGCTGAGCCACCGAGCCCAGCTGTAGATTTTAATTTTTAAAACCAAATAAAACTTCCTGAATAAAGCTATTTCTTTTGATCTATACTTGAAAATAGCAAAACTTTAAAGTGAGGTATCACAATCATGGCATTACTGACACCATGGGTCAGGTAAATGTTACAAGTAGGATGTCTGGCATCAATAATGGCCTCTATGCACTAGCTGTCAGTTGCACCTCCATCTCTGAGTTATGACAACCAAAAATTTTTCCACACACTAACAAATGGAACACAAAATAGTCCCTAGGTGAGAATCACTATTCTAAAGGAATAGTAGATGGTACAACATAAAAAATATTTATTGAATGATCAAATGAATAAACATGAATCTAATGGAAATAATCAGATTTGCACTCTATGAGCGTCAGAAAATCTAAGCAATATCTAATGTGCTTAAGAAGCCCAATCTTATATAAATTGAATGTTAATCCATTAAATGTTTCAACTAGAACTTTCTTCATGAAATTCAAAGGACTTCCATAACTCTATCATTTAATACCAAACATGCTTAAAAAAATTACTCCCCCAGTTATCCTCCACCCCTTTTCCCTTCAGATGGAGGGACAACAGAGACAAAGAAGGGAATGGTTAACCTACAACTAGAGTCTGGGTCCTTCACTTTCGTCCAGGGCTGTCTCCATTAGACCAGGGTAAAGAGTTAACAGGTCACCAATGGCAGTCGTATCTTTCTCTGGGATAAAGACTTAAGGAAGGGTAAGTGACTTAGGTAACTATGAGTGGAAAGAGCATAAAAGGAAAAATAATACTTTCCTTCTCTTTTCAAATACATTTCATCTTTAACTTTGCTACTTAAAATATTTATATTCTAATAAGCTATTTGAGCACAGTGTAAGAAATGTCTAAAATAGTCTTTAATATTAAACTGAAATTTTTTCTCATAAAATTCAAGCTCACCTAAAAAACTAAAAAAGCATTAAAAAAACATAGTAAATTTAAAAAGGGCATTCATAACCCCACTATGCAAAAATGATCACATTTCTGTGTTATACTCCCTCTCAGTAACTGTTTTCATGCAATTAAAACATACTCTACAGGCCGGGTACAGAGGCTCAAGCCTATAATCCCACACTTTGGGAGGCCGAGGCGAAAGGATTGTCTGAGCCCAGGGGTTTGAGACCAACCTGGGCAACTTGGTGAGAACTCTTCTCGACAATGGAAAAAAAAAAAAAAATTAGCAGGGTATGGTGGTACATGCCAGTAGTTACAGCTACTTGGAAGGCTGAGTGTAAGGATCACCTGAGCCCAGCAGGTCAAGGCTGCAGTGACTGCAAGCATGTCACTGCACTCCAACCTGGGTGAGTGAAACTCCAACTTAAAACAAACAAACAAACAAACAAAAAACCATACTCTATGGAACACCATACTATTTTGGTCATTATAAATATTCCATAATAAGCCGGGCTCAGTGGCTCAGCCTGTAATCCCACACCTTTGGGAGGCTGAGGTGAGTGGATTGCCTGAGCCGAAAGGTTCAAGACCCGCCTGGGCAACGTGGCCAGACCTTATCTCTACAATAAATCAAAAATGAGCTGGGCGTGGTAGCGCGCCTGTAGTTCCAGCTACTGGAAGGCTGAAGCGGAAGGATCGCAGGAGCCCAGCAGGTCGAAGCTGCGGTGGCCGGGAGTGGCCACTACACTCCAGTCTGGGTGACGGAGTGAGACTCCAACTCAAAAAATAAATAAATAAATATTCCATATTATGTTGTGTCATAATTTACTTCCCTATTCTCCATCTCTGAAAAATTTAAGAATGTCTCCAGTTGGAAGAATACTTCACATAAAAATTTTGGTCTTGGCTGGGCTCAGTGGCTCAGCCTATAATCCCAGCACTTTGGGAGGCCCAGGCGAACGGACTGCCTGAGCCCACGGTTTTGAGACCAGCCCAGGCAACTTGGTCATACCTCATCGCTGCAAAAAATTAAAAATTAGCCAGGTGCGAAAGCACTCGCCTGAGCCCAGCAGGTGGACACTGGGATGGCCATGAGCATGCCACTGCACTCTAGCCTGGGTGACGGAATGAGACTTCAACTCAATCAACAAATGTTGGTCAACATTTATCTCCTTATAAATGCACAGATGTACAATTACCATATCAAATAACACATTTTCAAATTGCTTTCCAAAACACTTGCATCAATTTATATTCTCAGTGGCAATGTTAAGAAGGGTTTATTTTACCATACCCTCACCTAATTTTGAAAGTCATTCACTCATTAAAAAAAAAGTACATCTTAAAATTAATTAAAAGTTAATTAATCCCAGCACTTTAAATTGTCCAGGTTGGTCACAAACCCAAGGACTCAGGCAATCCATTTGCCTCAGTCTCTCGATGTGCTGGGATTACAGGCTGAGCCACCAAGCCCAGCCTCTGATTTTCTTAATAACATATTCCTTTCGCTACACAGATAACACACAAAACCTGTGTTAATTGACTGTTTATGTTATCAGGACTTCTGGTCAACAGATGGCTATTCATAGTTAAGTGTTTGAGGAATAAAAAAATTATATGCAAATTTTCAACTGTATAGGGAGTTAGCACTCCAGCCCCACCACCCCCAAGTTGTTCAAGGATCAGATGTTATTTAAAGCGAAAAGAAAATGTAAGTATCAGCCTCTTCTACCTTGTTTTAAATCTGTCCACAGAGAGCCGTTGCCCAAACATTTTATATACTAAGGACAATAATGCTTTATCAGACAGTTGCAATAATTAATAAATAGTAAAATACTGAATAAACAAAAAAGAAAAAATCAGTTTTCCTGTTTAAAGACTAACAGGAGGTTTTCCTCCTCTATTTTTTTTTTTTTTTTTTTTTAGTTGGAGTCTCACTCTGTCACCCAGACTGGAGTGCAGTGGCCACTCCCGGCCACCGCAGCCTCGACCTGCTGGGCTCGAGCGATCCTTCCGCCTCAGCCTTCCAAGTAGCCGGAATTACAGGCATGCGCTACCACGCCCGGCTGATTTTTTGACTTATTGTAGAGATGAGGTCTCGTCAAGTTGCCCAGCCGGGTGTCAAACCCGCGGGCTCAGGCAATTCACTCACCTCGACCTCCCAAAGCGCGGGATTACAGGCTGAGCCACCGAGCCCGGCTTCTCCTCTACCTATTAAAGAAAATAAATTGACCTGGGGTCGGTGGCTCAGCCTGTAATCCCGCGCTTTGGGAGGTCGAGGTGAGTGAATTGCCTGAGCCAGAGGGTTCGAGATTCACCTGGGCAACTTGGCAAGACCTTATCTCTACTAGAAATCAAAAAAACTTAGCCGGGCATGATAGCATGCACCTGTAGTTCCAGCTACTTGGAAGACTGAGGCAAAAGGATCACCCGGCCCAGGTCAAGGCTGTGGTGGCCGAGAGCATGCCACTGCACTCCAATCTGGGTGACAGAGTAAGACTCCAACTCAAAAAAAAAAGAAAGAAAGAAAATATACCCGGGTGTGGTAGCGCGAGCCTGTAGTTCCAGCTACTCAGAAGGCGGAAGGATCGCCAAAGCCCAGCAGGTCGAGGCTGCGGTAGCCAGGAGCAGCTACTGCACTCCAGTCTGGGCGACAGAGTGAGACTCCAACTCAAAAAAAAAAAGAAAAGAAAAGAAATTGTGGAGCCGGGCTCGGTGGCTCAGCCTGTAATCCCGGCCTTTGGGAGACCGAGGTGAGTGGATTGCCTGAGCCCGCGGGTTCCAGACCCGCCTGGGTAACTTGGCGAGCCCTCATCTTTACATTAAATCAAAAAAAAAAAATTACCCAGGTGTGGTAGCGCACGCCTGTAGTTCCAGCTACTTGGAAGGCTGAGGCAGAAGGATCGCCAGAGCCCAGCAGGTCGAGGCTGCAGTGGCCAGGAGAGACCACTGCACTCCAGTCTGGGCAAAAGAGTGAGACTCCAACTCAAAAAAATAAATAAATAAATTGTGGGGTAACCCCTTTGGATCCCCTCCCACTGTGGGAGCTTTTCTGTCCTCTTAATAAATCCTGCTTTCTCAAAAAAAGAAAGAAAATAAATTTTAATTTCCAAATATTTGGCATTTCTTGCCAGGCAAATGAACTGCATATGCCTTTCATTAAAACATCATACTTAATAAACAAATGCTTTCCTGTGAAAAGTAATTCTCTCAATCCATGTCCATAACAAAGATGCACTTTCACAATCCAATAAATAACTCAAAAAATTCTGAAGCTCAATGGTAAATGCAGTCCCTTAGCAAAATCAAGAGACACTATGATAGTTCGAAGGGAAACTAATTGAAAGGAAGAAAAAAAAAAAGCATCCCATTCTTGGAGACAATAAGCTTCCCAATTGAAAGTTATTAACCCACATCTATCACCAATGACTCAGATGTTTCTTTCTAATGAATTAGCCATTACATTTCCAAAGCTCTGAAATGGCCAACAGACCAGAGAAAGACAATTCTTTAGGCTCCTGCTTGAAACCAACAGATTCAGCAAACTGCTGGCCTTGATTCAGGGCCAAAGGAAAACAAAAACCTTCAATCAAGCAAGTTAGCAGAGATTTCCACTAGTCCTCAGTCTAACTAACAAATCAGAGTTCAGCAGGCAGAGTAAAAAGATACGTGTGAGGCAGTGTCTAGTCATTGGAAGAGACTGATTGGAACAACGAACATCATCCACAAAGGCCAAGCATCTCTGACTGGAACGAGTAGTATGGGCCTAAAAGGAAAAAAACAGATAAACCCACAAATATACAATCAATAATAATGAAAATACTAAGCTATATAAGAAAAGTACATTGTTAAAGGCTAGAAAATTCAGTGTTTAACAAAAATTGATTCACAAATATTATGCAAAAGAAAAAAAGTTAAACCTAATGTATAAAGAATAAGTCAACCTTAATCCCAAATACACCTCTTATATTATAAGTATGATATAGCCAAATGGCTTTCAAACTAATTTGTCTTTTATCAGCAGGACCCACTTTTAAACTGTAACCTTCAGTAGAGCCTCAACAAATAAAACAGGTAAAATTGAAATTACTAAAGAGACAAGAGTTTGAGAAGAAAATTTTTTTTTTTTTTTGAGTTGGAGTTTCACTCTATTGCCCAGACTGGAGTGCAGTGGCCGCTCCCGGCCACCGCAGCCTCGACCCACTGGGCTCCGGCGATCCTTCCGCCTCAGCCTTCCAAGTAGCTGGAATTACAGGCGCGCGCTACCTGGCTAATTTTTTTATTTATTGTAGAGATGAGGTCCCGCCAAGTTGCCCAGGCGGGTCTCAAACCCGCAGGCTCAGGCAATCCACTCACCTCAGCCACCCGAAGGCGCAGGATTACAGGCTGAGCCACTGAGCCCGGCTGAGAACAAATTTAAGAATGAACACCTAACTCTTCTTCCTATCAACCTTCCCTCCTGATATTCAATTGCTCCTATTCTACCTACATTCCTATCTTTTAAAAGATTCTCTACTGCACTCCAGCCTGCTCAACCGAGTGAGACTCCTATTAAAAAAATAAATAAATAAAACAAATAAAAAAGAACGAAGATTCTCAAGCAATTTAGGCTTAATCTGTGCTTACTTCTGTAGAATACCTGAACTAAAGAACTCAGAAATCTATCCCAACCACTCAATTTTGCAGATGAGAATGTTGAAGCCCAGAGAAGTTAAACTATCTGTAGACACAGGTTGGCCAGTAGAGGACTGAGACTACAATCCATGTCCACTAACATCCAGGTGTGCTTCCATTACAACCCAAGGGCAGATTCCAGAGTGGATATAACAGTTTGACAAGTACTCTAACTCTCTGACTGTATGGGCCGGCTGTGGTGGCTCGTGTCTGTAATCCCAACAGTTTGGGAGGCAAAAGCAAGAGGAATACCTGAACTCAGGGGTTTGAGACCAGCCTGAGCAACTTGGCAAGACCTCATCTCTACAATAAATCAAAAAACAAAGCCGGGCTTAGTGGCTCAGCCTGTAATCCAACACCTTTGGGAGGCTGAGGTGAGTGGATTGCCTGAGCCCGCAGGTTCAAGACCCACCTGGGCAACTGGCGAGACCTCATCTCGACAATAAATCAAAAATTAGCCAGGCGTGGTAGCACGCGCCTGTAATTCCAGCTACCTGGAAGGCTGAGGCAAAAGGATGGCCGGAGCCCAGCAGGTTGAGGCTGCAGTGGCCGGGAGTGTGTCATTGCACTCCAGTCTGGGTGACAGAGTGAGACTCCAACTGAAAAAAAAAAAAACTAGCCGGGCGCGATGGCGCATGCCTATGATTCCAGCTACTTGGAAGACTGAGGCAGAAGGATCACCTGAGCCTAGCAGGTCAAGGCTGTGGTGGCTGTAAGCATGCCGCTGCACTCCAGCCTGGGTAACACAGTGAGACTCCGACTCAAAAAAAAGTGACTGTATGCACCACTTTAGAGATATATATACACAAATTACCTGTTGGGCAGCGCCATCTGTGGCCAGCATTCTGCGTTCCTTTAATTGCCTATGTAATAAGGCTTCTACTCCATAGCGCTGGCGGTATCGCCGCAGACATTTTAATCGCTTTAAGTTCTCTCGTTCTTTGGCCAAAAGTCCCTCTGGGCCAGTCAGGAGACTACTACCTAGAGTTATAAGAGTCAATGTTATTTGCTAACAACCTATCAAGGATGCCTCTCCCAAATCAACAAGTGAACAGAGAGATCTTTGGCTATAAGATAGGCAGTCTCAAAAGTGAAATCTTCCCCATTCCAGGTACCAAGACAGAAATAAATCTAATTACATCCACACACTGCAAAACAACACTTCAGTCCACAACAGACCACCATATAACAAAGGTCCAACAAGACTTACAGAGCACCGGGCTCGGTGGCTCAGCCTGTAATCCCGCGCCTTTGGGAGGCTGAGGTGAGTGGATTGCCTGAGCCCGCGGGTTCGAGACCCACCTGGGCAGCGAGACCTCATCTCTACAGTAAATCAAAAATCAGCTGGGCGTGGTAACGCATGCCTGTAATTCCAGCTACTCGGAAGGCTGAGGCGGAAGGATCGCCAGAGCCCAACAGGTCGAGGCTGCGGTGGCCGGGAGCGCCAGTCTGGGCGACCGAGTGAGACTCCAACTCAAAAAAAAAAAAAAAAAAAAAGACCTACAGAGCTGAAAAATTCCTACTGTCTTTGTAGTGCAATACATTATTCACATGACCGTGGAGAAGCTGGTAAACAAATCAACTGTGCTGCCAGTCATATAAAAGTACAGCACATAGCCAGGCTCAGTGGCTCAGCCTGTAATTCCAGCACTTTGGGAGGCTGAGGTGAGTGGATTGCCTGAGCCCGCGGGTTCGAGACCTGCCTGGGCAACTTGGCGAGACCTCATCTCTACAATAAATCAAAAAATGAGCCAGGTGAGATAGCGCACGCCTATAGTCCCAGCTACTTGGAAGGCTGAGGCGGAAGGATTGCCGGAGCCCAGCAGGTTGAGGCTATGGTGGCCGGGAGTGGCCATTGCACTCCTGTCTGGGTGGCAGAGTAAGATTCCAACTCAAAAAAAAAAAAAAGAAAGTACAGCACATACAATTATTTATAGTACATGATAACTGATACTGGTAATAAATGACTATGTTACTGGTTTATATATTTACTATCCTATAATTTTTATCCTTAGAGCATACCCTTTCTACTTTTTAACAATAAGTTAACTGTAAAATAGACTGTAGCAGGTCTTTTACCCGGTATTCCAGAAGAAGGCATTATCCAAATGTGTATTGTCCCTGAAGATCTTCCAATGGGACAAGATGTGGTGTAAGACAGTGATTTTGATGTTTCTGACCCTGGGTAGGCCTAGGCTAATGTGCATGTTGGGACTTTAGATTAAAAAAAGTTAAAAAATTAGCCGGGCTCGGTGGCTCAGCCTGTAATCCCGTGCCTTTGGGAGGCAGAGGTGAGTGGATTGCCTGGGCCTGCGGGTTCGAGACCCGCCTGGGCAACTTGGCGAGACCTCATCTCTACAATAAAATCAAAAAAATTAACTGATCATGGTAGCACACACCTGTAGTTCCAATTACTTGAAAGGCTGAGGCGGAAGGATCACCGGAGCCCAGCAGGTCGAGGCTGCGGTGGTCGTGAGTGTGCCACTGTACTCCAGCCTGGTCAACAGAGGGATATTCCAACTCAAAAAATAATAATAATTAAACAAAATTAAATTAACAAATAAAAATAGTAAAAAGTTGCCTGTTGTTCTAGCTACTAGGGAGGCTGAGACAGAAGGATGGCTTGAGCCCAGGAGTTCTAGGCAGCAGTAAGCTATGATCTCCCCACAGCACTCCAGCCCAGGCAACAGAGCAAGATCCTAGCTCAAAAAAAAAATTTATAGTAAGCTAATAAGGTTAGTTTATTATTGAAGAAAAAAGTTTAAATCAATTTGGTATAGTCTAAGTATAGTGTTTATCATATTTACAGTCGTGTACAGTTATGTTCTAGGCCTTCACGCTTACCACTCATTGACTCACCTAGAGCAACTTCTGGTCCTACAAGTTCCTTCATGCTAAGTGTTCTCTACTGTTGGTACCATTTTGCAAGTCTTTTTTTTTTTTTTGAGTTGGAGTCTCACTCTGTCACCCAGACTGGAGTGCAGTGGCCGCTCCCGGCCACCGCAGCCCCGACCTGCTGGGCTCCAGTGATTCCTCCGCCTCAACCTTCCAAGTAGCTGGAACTACAGGCGCGCGCTACCACACCCGGCTCATTTTTTGATTTATTGTAGAGATGAGGTCTCGCCAAGTTGCCCAGGCGGGTCTTGAACCCTTGGGCTCAGGCAATCCACTCACCTCAGCCTCCCAAAGTGCTGGGATTACAGGCTGAGCCACCGAGCCCGGCTTGCAAGTCTTTTATATCACATTTTAACTGTATCTTTTCTATGTTTAGATGTGTCTAAATACAAAAATACCACTGTTACGACCGCCCATATGGTAGCATGCTATACAGATTTGTTGCCTAGAAGCAATAAGGTATATCATACAGCCTAGGTATATAGCAGGCTGTACCATTTAGGTTTGTGTAAATACACTCTACCAGGTTTAAACAATGACAATTGCCTAACAACATATATATCCCGTTATTAATTGATGCATTACTAAATTACCGAAATCACATGTTGAACCCAAAACTGCTTGTTGGAATTGGCATAAAACTTGCCTAGAGCTTCATGCTCCACTTTGCGATTATGTAAGTAACGGCGCTTCTTCTCCTTGAGCAGATGCTGAAGTCGTTTAAACTGATCAATGTACAAAGACTGCAAACGAATTAGCTTCTCACGCATAATCAGGGCTACCTCTTCTGCTGTGTACACACCAGCATGTCTGGAATAAAACAGAGAATTAAGCAATGCATAAGAAAACATAAAAATAAAACCTTGGTTTAAATGTAGAAAATTTGGTAAAGAGGTTAAACTTAATTATTATTTAACAAGTAGTCCTTGCTGAGATGCTGTATTATACAGGAATGTTTCCACAAAGTATTTTTCTATTCTAGTCATTATTAAATAGCAAAACAAAAGAGAAATCTTTTGAAGTGAAGATGTAGAAAAACTTATTAATCCACATTATTTTTTTTTTTAGTCAGGAGTCTCACTCTTGTCACCTAGGCTAGAATGTAGTGGCACAATCATGGCTCACCATAATAGCCTCAACCTCCTAGGCTCAGAAGATCCTTCTGCCTCAGCCTCCGGAGTAGCTGGAAGGATAGACATGCGCCACCACGACTGACTACATTTTTTACTTTTGTAGAGACACGGTCTCGTACTTGACTAGGCTGATCTCAAATTCCTGGACGCCAGCAATGTGCTTGCCAGGGCCTCCCTAAGTGCTGGGATTACAGGTATGAACCATTGCAACTGGCCTACATTCTTATTCCATATAATGACTTAATATGAAATTCATCACCAGTCAGAACAGTTTTAAATGTTCATTAACATGCACCTTAATATACTTTAATTAAAGCACAAAAGATACCAACATCAAATGATTACAATTTGAAATTTTAAAAAAAAAACATACTCCAATATTGGAACTCATATGAACCTTCAAACATTAGTCACAATAGGCTATATATACTATCCTTGGTTCATTTTCTGGACAATATTTTCAAAATTCAGTATTCTAGTTTAACCTGCAGTTGTCAAAAATTTGGCAAGGATCCCTATCAACTTCTTAAGATTTGCTGCCAATTATAAACTAAAAGAACTTCAAAAAGTTATGCTAGGGCCAGGCACAGCAGCTCACAACTGTAACACCAGCACTTCAAAAGGCAGAGGAAAGAGGACTGCCTGAGATCAGGAGTTCAAAAACAGCCTGGGCAACATGGTGAGACCTCATCTCTACAATAAATCAAAAAAATTAGCCAGGTGTGGCAGTAATCCCAGCACTTTGGGCCCCCAAAGTTATGCTAATGATTAATGTGTTGAAGACTGACTTCTACTTCTGATTAAAGTAATTTAAAATTAAGAGATTAACTTAGAAATTTTTTTATTTTACGTTTTTATTTTTGAGTCAGGGTTTTTTGGGTTTTTTTTGAGTTGGAGTCTCACTCTGTCACCCAGACTGGAGTGCAGT